CCTCCTATGGAGCAACCGAAAGGCCCTTGAGAGCAAGGAAGAGGGAGTTCAAGAACAAGGCGAAGATGCGATGCTTCTATTGTGGTGGGCAAGGCCACTACAAGAGGGAATGCAAGCTCTTCCGAAAGGATGAGGAGGAGAGGAATGTGGCATCTGCCTCAGGTATCTTCATTAACACTTGTGTATAAACCTATTCATAAGTATTGGATACCATGTGTAACTCACTTTATGTTACCTTTTCAGGAACCATGTGAGAGGGCTTCACAAGTGGATGTGCAACAACAAGCAAACAACAAAGATGGTCTTTTGATCGTGCTTGTAGGCACATTTATTTTATCTATGGGTTGTTATTAAACAATGGTTGTTTCTCATGCTTTTGAACATACTTTTGATCTATGGTGTTGGACACCGGGTTACTTTGATCACAAGACTTAAACAATGGTTGGTTTTGAAATGTCTTGTTTATATGGTCTATAAAATTACATGTTTCACATATGTTTAGACAAATTAATGATACAGCCAAAAGAGCTAAGACCATTGAGTCAAATCAAACCTATTTGTGGCATTGTTGTCTTGGCCACACTAACATCAAACGCATCAAGAAACTTCTTCATGAAGGTATTCTTGATTCATTCGACTTGGAGTCGTTTGAAAATTGCGAAGGATGCTTATTAGGCAAGATGATAAAGCAGCAATTCTCTAAGTTGGGAGAAAGGGCTAGTGACTTATTAGGTCTAATACATACAGATGTATGTGGAACAATGAGTTCAGCTACAAGGAATGGTTGTCGATATTTCATTACCTTCACGGACGACTATAGTAGATATGGCTATGTCTACCTTATGTTGAACAAATCTGAATCTTTTGAGAAATTCAAAGAGTTTCAAAATGAAGTTGAAAATCAGCTTGGCAAGAAAATCAAAGCACTTCGATCGGATCGAGGTGGCGAGTATTTGAGCCATGAATTCGACGATCACTTGAAAGAAAATGGTATTCTTTCAAAGTTCACACCTCTCGGAACTCCACAATGGAACGGAGGTATCCGAATGGAGAAATCGAACCTTGTTAGACATGGTTCGATCAATGATGGGTCTTAGTGAACTTCCTACCTCTTTTTGGGGACACACACTTCTAACTGTGGCACTAACACTGAACCGTGCTCCGTCAAAAGCTGTCGAAAAGACTCCATATGAATTATGGACGAAGAAACCTCCGAGGTTGTCTTTTCTTAAGATTTGGGGTTGCGAAGCATATGTCAAAAAGTTAATTTCTGACAAACTTCACCCAAAATTTGACAAGTGTTTCTTTGTGGGCTACCCAAAAGAAACCAAGGGGTATAACTTCTACAACAAATCCGAGAACAAAGTGTTTGTTGCTCGTGATGGTGTCTTTTTTGAGAAGGAACACCTTTCCTAAATGATAAGTGGGAGGAAAATTGAACTCGACAAAGTTCGAGAGGTCGAGCAACAAAGTCAACCTGACAAAACTGACAATCAAAGTGCATTAGAAGCAGCTAATGACATTGGTCAGAGTAAAACCGACAATGCAAATGCTCAACCTATTACCCTGCGTAGGTCACAACGGCCAAGATCTCAACCAGACAGATCAAGACATCCTAGTTATGGATGGAGATGAGCCAGCGACTTACAAACAAGCTATGACGAGCCCCGACTCTACAAAATGGCAAGAGGCCATGAAATCCGAGATGGACTCCATGTCTAAAAATCAAGTCTGGGACATGGTTAATTTGCCCGAAGGTTACAAACCTATTGGTTGCAAATGGATTTTCAAGTTGAAAACAGACAAAGATGGAAATGTATCAATATACAAAGCTAGACTGGTGGCAAAAGGTTACAGGAAAATTCACGGAGTTGATTATAATGAAACCTTTTTGCCAGTCGCAATGCTCAAGTCCGTCCGGGTTATCCTAGCGATTACTGCATATTACGATTATGAAATATGGCAAATGGACGTCAAAACTGCCTTCCTCAATGGGATTTTTGAAGAAACTGTGTATATGACACAGCCGAAAGGTTTTGTTGATCCAAGCAATTCTGGGAAGGTATGCAAGCTTAAGAAGTCCATTGATGGACTAAAGCAGGCCAGCAAAAGTTGGAATCTGCGATTCGATGAAGCCATTGGTAAGTTTGGTTTTATCAAGAATCTAGATGAGTCTTGTGTTTACAAGAAGGTCAGTGGGAGTGACATCGCATTCCTAGTCTTATATGTCGATGACATATTACACATTCGAAACAGCACTAAACTGTTAAATTCCATAAAGGGCTGGCTTGGTAAGTGCATCAAGATCTATAGGGGTAGACCTAAAAGGATGATTGGATTGAGCCAAAGTACTTATATTGATAAGGTACTGGCACGATTCAACATGGAAGAGGCCAAGAGAGGGCACCTACCCATGTCCCATGGCATAACTCTCTGCAAGAAGCAGTGTCCACAGACACCTGATGAACGAGAGAGGATGAATCAGATTCCATATGCTTCGCTTATTGGATCGATCATGTATGCCATGATATGTAGTAGGCCTGATGTATCGTATGACTTGAGTGCTACGAGCCGATACCAATCAGATCCAGGAGAGGCACATTGGACTGCGACAAAGAATATCCTAAAGTGCCTGAAAAGGAACAAGGATAAATTTCTGGTCTATGGTGGCTGTAATGATTTGGTTGTTGAAGGTTACACTGACGCAAGCTTTCAGACTGACAGAGACGACTCCAAGTCGCAGTCAGGGTACATATTTTCCCTAAATGGAGGAGCGTTTAGTTGGAAAAGTGTTAAGCAGAGCACCACTGCAGATTCTTCAACTGAAGCCAAATACTTGGCAGCTTCGGAAGCAGCTAAGGAAGCAGTTTGGATTCGTAAGTTCATTAGTAAACTTGGTGTTGTACCCTCTATCAAGGGTCTGATAGACCTCTATTGTGATAACAATGGAGCTATTGCTCAGGCCAGGGAGCAAAGGGAAGACCAGAAGGTCAAACATGCACTAGTAGAAAAAATGAAATAGGCACCGCACTTTTCGCACCGATACTTGAAAACCGGTGGGAAAAGAAATAGGCGGGATTGGGAAAAAGACTTTTCGCACCGGTTCCTAATAAACCGGTGCGAAATCATCTTTTTCGCACCGGTTTGAGCCGGTGCGAATTAAAAAAGAGAAAAAACAAAAAACAAAAAAAAAAAAAAAGAAAAAAGGGAGAAAGGGATTTCGCAACGATTCAGACCAAATCGGTGCGAAATAGTGATTTAGCACCGGTTCAAACCAGTGCGAAATTATAAAGAAAAAATCGGGCTCGCGTATTTCTTCTTCTTCCTTTCTTTCCCCCTGCTTTTTCATCTTTTTTCCCTCGTTCTCGCCTTTTCTTCCACCACCTCCAAATTCCCACTTTCTCCATCGAAGCCGTTATGAGCTTTCTCACTCCATTGAAGCAGCCGCACCTCCTTCTCTCTCCATATCTCTCCACCAGTGAACTTGTGCTCTTTATTCTCCATTGAAGCGAATTCTGAGCTTTCTCACCTCCATTGAAGCAGCTTCGAGGTAAGATTTTTGTTGTGGTCTTCTTAATCTACCGAATTCCTTCGCAATTTAGGGTTCGTCGTTGGTTTTCAATTTGTAATTTTAGGGTTCTGGTAATCTAGGGCTTATCATTGAAGCGCGCACGGCTCCACCTCCACCACAACGGCCTCCTTGTCACGGCGGCACGGCCTTCTTTTTCTAGGGTTTATCGCCAATTCCCCCCTTTTTCTTCGATCTCCTTCACCGCCACTGCGCCGCAAGCGTTTCCATTTATGGCTAGGGTTTTCAGAAACAATTTTCATTCAATATCTGCAATTTTATCGTCCTTCTCATCGCTACTCATGTCATAGCTTTGGTACCACCAATCGCACTCTTCTTCTTCATCTTCTTCGTTTCAATTTTCTCTCTCTTACTTTTGTTGATATTTCTATTTCAGGTGTACTGGATTTTTAGAGTTGCAACTGAGAAGCAACAACAATTTCCTGGAAGATCCAGAAAACACTGATTTTGCCTCCTTCTGCATTGTATGTTCCGCCGCTAACCCTAATTTTTAGTTTAATTTTGTTTGATATTTGTTGATTATTGAAGATTTCTTGTGTACTGTGTGTGTTAGTGTGTGATTGCTGTGATTTTGTTTTTGTTTCTTTGAGATGTACTGGTATTTGTTAAATTGATGCGGTGGTGGGTGTGGTGGTTGCAGTGTGTGTTGTGCAGAGCTTGTGTGTTGTGATGCTTCTGCTTGCTTGTTGTCGCTGTTGGGATTAATTGTTTTGGGGGGGGGGGGGGGATGGTGGGGGATGTGTTTCTTGGATTATTGTGTATGTTCTTGCTGTGGTATGGTGTTACGGTGTTTTTTTGCTATAATTTTTTTTTGCTATGTTTGGTGTTGTGTCTTCTGGTGCCTCTGATGTGTGCTCGGTGATGCTGCTGCATGTTGCTTGTTTTGCTGCGTTTTTGTTGCTGCATCGTTTCTTCTTTCTGTGGTGTATTTGTGGCCTGCTACTTGTGTATGTGTGGGCGGTAAAATTGCTATTCGATACTCCGCTTTGTTGTTGCTATGAGTTATGGTGTTGGATTGATGAACTAAGAGTTCTATAAATCTGAACTACTGTTGTTAATTTCGTGCATTTTGCTTTGATTTTCTTTCGGGTAAACCCCACTTCATTATGCACATGTTCTTTTTCCTCCTAATTAAGTGAGCACCATTAGTTTTTGACTTTTTGGTGGATTGTCCAGGGTGGGGCTTGAAATGTGCTAGTTTTTTTTTCTGTGTCTATGAATTTTAGTTATTGGTGAACTACAAACAGACCAGTGGCCTGTTCCACCTGGTAGTAGAGCATTGCGATGCATCGGTGTGGCATTGAATGTGGCTACAGGGTTGCTTGGAGCCTGTTCACCAGGAACTGGTGCTCGGATTATTGCTTTGGTGGGTGGTCCTTGCACAGAAGGGCCAGGAACGGTATGTTTGCTTTGCAAGTTGTAAGACATCATGCATTTTCTTTGATTCAGTGCTACCCTTTTGTCTCAAATAGTGACATTAATAGGTAAGCTACTTTCTTTGATTGATTTTTTATTATCTTGAATTTCTGGAAATTGAATTCAGTTTAAGTTAATGCATGGTTAAACGATACAATTAAGTATTTCTTTGCTTTTTACATAATTGAATTGAATGGATTGAAGTCAATTCACCTTGTATTAATTTTGTGCAATATGGTTGTCGGCTTTGAGTATATTCTGTTGCCTTGTTGCTTGTGTCAGCTATGTGAGGCATGTGAAACTTCTGTTTCATATGCATGTGTATGCTGAAATCCCCTGCAAGGTTGTACTACTTTATAAGGTTTTTTTTATTCTGCTTAAGGTGTAGTAAAGATTCACTAAGATTTAGGCCATTATTATAGTGTCAATAAGATGTTGACTATGACCTTATACAAATCTTGATTCAACCCCAAATTCTGACAAACATGTCTGAATTTAGGGTCTTGAACAAGACCGTTCTACCCGAAATCGAATATGCAACATGATGTAACTGAAAGATATTGGATCCTTAATTTCAACCAGAAACTGAACGAACCCAGATTAATAATTTATGTTGATGCAATTATGAGCTTGAAGCTTGGGGGTTACTCTAAGGCCTTATTATTTTCCCTTTTTAAAAACGTGTTTCAGGAAAGATATGCTCAAATAAGGGTCAAGAAGTTCGGGACCTGTGAAACCATTCATACATATGTTATTTCCTGATATTATTATATTGTTATTCACCTGCAAGATGGGATTTGCTGAAGCGAGTTAATACCCACACACCCAAAAAGTTTGTGGGAATATTTTGAAACAGAACTTAAATAGCTTTCCAGTTCATGTGTACACTGTCAGACGGCTGGCATATGCACTCATTGCATGCACCTATTGCTAATGTTTGTGCTTAGGTGCTCATGCTGGCATAATATGCCATTTCTGTTCCACATAATGATACTTGGAAAGTGACACCTTGACAACACCAACAACACTTAGGATGTAGGGATCTTGCTAATGCATAGCACCCTATCACCGTGGTTGGAATTTTTGAAACGGGCCATTTTGATCCTTGATGATTTCTGGGTCTAAAGATTCTGTAGGGGGTGCTGGAAGTATGCCTCATTCATGTGGGGCATTCTAAGACCAACTTGGGCAATGCTGTAGTAGGGTGGACTTGTGTCTAGTGGTCATCTTGGGTTGCAAATTGCTGCTGTGACCAAGATATGTATTGGTGAGATTATACCAACATGCCTAGGCCAAAGGCTATCAGTCATGACTTACAACTTTCCAAGGTGGAAAACTCAGAGTGGGGCACACATGGGTTTCTTATGGTGACCTTACTTTTCAATGACCTAGGAGGGCTTCACATGTGAAATTACAAATATCTCAAGGCCGTGAAGCACCCCGAGTCCTGGACCTAGGGTAAATAGAATCACAAAACACTGGACAAGGTGCTTCCCAGGCCGGCATAGGTTCTAATTAGAATGGCCTTCAGGAACCTAAACCTGGCCAGAGCTTGTAACTTGGGGCCATGGTGCACCCTAAACCAAGGACATAAAATCGCAAAGCATTGTAGTTGAGGTGTCCTTAAGGTTTGCCGCGTTGCAATGGTCTTAGCTCGGGAAGTGAGCTCTGGTAAATCGTGAAAACATCTAATAAATTCTGTGTGGGAATTGATCTGTGAAACTGAGAGGCTGTAAATTTTTTTGTAACAATTTAACTTTTTTCTTTTTATTTTTCCAAATAAAGTTCTTATCTTTCCAAATAAAGTTAATTTTATTATCGAGCTAAAAGTACAGATTGCAGCACCTACAACTCCTCAAATCACTTTACAAGTTCAAAAAAAAGTTTGCATGAAAGCACCCCCTACCTTCTAGGTCCGAGGTTAATCACTCATCATTTGCAACACTATCATGTTCTCTTTTGCGCTACATGCTAAACAAAAACAAATTTTATTTTATACACAATTATGCGAAGTACTACTCTTGCATTTCTGATAAGAAATCAGATAATTTCTCCGCAGTTAGATCAAATATAGGGTAATAAGAAAGGCCATATAGTATCTTTCTATGGTGATGTCTCCTCCTATCCTTAATAATATTATGATCATGCTCATCTTTCAAAATAAGCCCCTCTTTGATAAGCAATTTTTGAAACACTTGACTCCATATACTACTTGAGAAAGCATCTAAAAATAAAATGCTGAGCAGTCCCAAACACTATGACATAATACAAAAGTAGCCTGATTCTGAAGGTTCTATGTGCTTGAATTGACAAGTGCCAATGAGCTGCAGTGCTAAAATCATTTCTGTTTTGTGCATAACATTCTTATATTACTTTTAAGTTTTAACGTATTATGTTATTTTGTGTACCACTTGAAAGTTGTCAATACAATGTTCACCATAACCTACTTATATTGGAAACACTATGGGGGTATTCGAGGTTTTCTATGTTATCGGAAACGAAGGATGTAGGTATTTAATTACTTAACAACTTACAGGTTGGGAAAGGATTCCTGCCAATTTCTCACCTTCCTTGCCTTGTTGGTGGCTACGTAGTTCATGTGACTTATGCAGCAGCATGAAATTTCTTCTCTGGCTTATCTTTGTGGTTCAAAAATCCTACATCCACACTTCATTTAAACTTTGGTTATATTTCTTTTCAGGTTTGTGCTGGACTTTCATCCCGTCTTCTAGAATACAAGTCTGAAAATGCTCAGTTAGAGGAGCTTCTTACATCTGAAGTAAACCTTCTCTCTTGCCTCCAAGATTTAGGTTTGTTTGGCTTCAACTTAATCTTATATATGAATTCATTTTGTAATGTATGCTTTTATGTTCCATGGCAGAGGGAGCTTAGTAAATCATCTGAGAGTCGCATAAAACAATTGCAGCAGGAGTTATCTGCTGCCAAAACAGAAGTAAACAAAGTTGAGTCAAACATGGCTGAAGCATTAGCCGCAAAAAATTCTGAAATTAAGACACTTGTCAGTTCTGTTGAGGCTCTGAAGAAGCAGGCTGCTTTGTCTGAAGGGAATTTGGCATCTTTGCAGGTCTGATGTATTCTAAGAATCTTGGGGGGGAGAGTATCCCTCTTTTACTTTCTACATCAGAATATTACCAAGTGATTGTTTACTTGACATCAAATTACACAAGAAGTACAAATTCCTAGAAGTTGGAAAACTGGGGAATTATTTGGTTTTCAAAGACAGTTGCACACCATGGAAATTCTACTTTCCAAAAAAATGTGGGAATTACTTATGAAATTACCACCCTCCCCCCCCCCCCCCCTTTTCCCTATTCAACTAATAGACCCTCCTCCTAATAGTCAACCATACAGTTTTCTTCATTTCCCATGGGAAATGCAAAGTCTTGAGAAGCGTATCTCTTGTAAACAACCAAACCATCACTAAGTAGCTTTTGCATTTGTCCATTTTAGTATGCAAAAAAACGGCCCCTGCATATTTGATTTTGTAAAGCTGTCCAATAAGCATCATCTTTTCTGGGAAGCAAGTCTTTTTGGTTTAGATTATTCTTCAGATTTTCCTGACTCAATGCGCCACTTCTTATCAGGAAAATATGGAAACTTTAATGAGAAACAGGGAGCTTACAGAAACACGGATGATGCAAGTAAGTTTGCTGGAAAATTGATATTTATAACGAATCCCTTTCTGATAGCATGAAGTCAAGATATGTATGTTATCACATATAAGAAAGGATTTTTCATTTCCATGTACTCCTCTTTAACAGAAAACTCCATGCAAATGAATCAGGCCCTAAAGGAGGAGCTTGCCCTGGCTGAAAGACGGGCAGAAGAAGAGTGTGCAGCTCATAATGCCAACAAAAAGGTCTGTTCATTGCTCATGTAGGTTATGAATTTTCCTATATCCTTCATCACTCCCTTGGGTTGTTTCTGTTAGCATAATCTTATTCATGTGGATTAACAGGCTGCAATGGAGAGGGAAGTAAAGTTGGAACACCGAGCTGTTGACGCATCTACTGGCCTTGCTAGACTGCAGGTATGGTGAGAACTATGATGCCTTATTCATGAGCAATTGAAATTTGATAATCTAAAGAACTTTTGTAGTGATATTTTAATTTATAAACTTATTTTATGCAAAACCTTGTTACACTTAAGCATTTAATGTTTTATGCCACTAGGTAATTTTAATTTTAGTCGGAAACAGACAGTGCGTGTTGACTCTATTTTACTAAGATTTAGGATTTTGTATTAAACATCCCATATTCTCATGCTTCATGGCATCATGGCTCCGGAGTAGCGTTGTGGCAAGCTCTTGTCGAGATATCTTGTGCTGAAACAATTAGAACAAGCAAATTGTTACTCAAAGTGCGTTTTTGTCTTGGACTTCATGGATCATGTCCAAAAATAAGCTGAATTTCCAAAATCATTTTTATGGTTTAGGAGATTAGCATATTCAAATTCACGGTCATGAGAACTGCAGCAGGACTAGTGTATCTCTTGGCCTGTTTGTTAGAGCCTTTTATGCCATCTTTCTCTCTTGAGGTGATTGAACTAGATTGCAATTAAATGTATACGTTATTAGTCGCACATGGGCCAATGTGATGATCTTTCTCATAAATTTTAATGGCTCTATAGGTACTTAAGCAGCTTAATATGCCCCAACTTCAAGTATCTCTTTCAGATGAAAATGGGGATCTTGAGAAAATCAGGAAACTCTAGGATATTCTACCTGCTGGTTACAGTATAGGGAAACCAGAACCATTGTTCAAGGAACTGGTATGCTTTTGGCTTAGACGGAGTAATTGCTAATTTATATTACCTTCTGAGGATTTGATTAGATAAAGACTTTGCTGAACATGTCTTTTATACTGCAGAACAGACTTATTTTTATTGTCTTTTATTAAAAGTTTGGGTAATTTGCAGAAAGATGAGGAAGTGAAAATTTTATCGCGATAAGTTTGCTGGAAGTCAAGCGGACAGGGCTCTGAAAGCTGCTGCAGAAAAGACTGTTGAGCAGGTGAAAAAAACAAAAATATCAGGTCTGGATTCTAAGGAATTTGGCCAATTTTCTTAGTAAATTATCTTTCACATTCTTTTTTATTGTAAGCCTGTACGTAGCAGTGTAGACTAATCAATGTTCAGTAGGACTATAGGATTGCGTGCTTTGAGCTTTCATCGGGTAAGGGTGTTAGGTGGATATGAATGTGCTTCATTAGAGCAATGTTGCCAAGGTAGTATGTTGGTATTAAAAACAGAAGGTTACAGCAACAGTAGCACCTAGTATAGAATTTTATTTTTTTTATTTTTTTGGACGAAAATTGTAATATTATAGTCTTTTTTAATGAAAATATGTAACTTTATATATATGTGAGTGTTTATATATCAATTTAGGTGAAAAAAATGCAAATAAAAAAAAATTATTTCTTTGGGCATTTTTGGCACCAGTTTGGAATAGAACCGGTGCTAAAAGTATTTTTTTATATTTTTTTTTGGCCACTTTTCGCACCGGTTCAAAGCAAGAACCGGTGCTAAAAGTTTTTTTTATAATATTTTTAGGGACTTTTCGCACCGGTTCACATCAAGAACCGGTGCAAAAAATAAGTTTTCGCACCGATTTTGAACCGGTGCGAAAAGTCTTGGGATTTGACATCCCTCAAATCAGAACCGGTTCAAAACCAGTGCAAAATGGGGGTTTTGAACCGGTGCTGATTAGAAATTTTCGCCTAGTGATGTCAAGCGGCGATTTCACATGATAAGGGAATGGAAATCCGAGGGTGAAATCAGAATTTGTAAGATTGGAACGGACGACAATGTAGCCGATCCATCGACTAAACCTTTGCCTCAAGTGAAGCACAACAAGCACGTTGTGACAATGGGAATCAAGCATGTTGGAGATTGGCTTTGAATTCCCAGTATATGTGTTTTAATTAAACTTGATGTCTTAATGTAAAACATTATGTTGAACCATTCGGTTTTTGGAGCAATTAAATTTTCAGCAAATTTATTATTACTCCAATCAAAACGTTTTTCCTCGACCATGAATATTGTAAGTTTTCTCTTGTTTGAGTACTAGTCATTTTGATGTTGTCAAACTTCTGCCGTAAATGGGGATTATAATGGCAACAATCGGGCGACTAGGTCCTCTAAGTAAGGGAAGCTAACAATATAAGACAGGGAATGTCCCCCTATTAACAATAGGGAATATGTCTTTGTTGTTTACAACGCCTCTCGAAGAGCGAGACTATGAAAATGCATGGTCGTGCTCAGATGGATTTTAGAAATCATTTGCTTATTAACAGTCAAACTCGGGAATCGAGAAACACTTCTGGACGTAATAAGGATGACGAAAAATCTTACCTTATAGTTCATGAAGAGACATTAAGCGACATAGGAAAAGGGCTATACACTAATTGCACACTTGTCCGGAAGGACGAGTGGGAGATTTAAAGGAATGGTGTCTTTCCAACAAGTGTATTATTCCGATAGAGGGTTCGGAATTATTAGAAAGCTAATTCTTCAGTGAGGTCAAGTGATCAGAATGCCTAGGTGGAGACCGCTTCCGATCAGTAATATTAATGCATAATTAATATTACGGCTTAATCTTGACTGAACCCTTCGGGTCGCACCCCAATCGAATAACCGATCCGAATCGACGAATCAATCCGAAGGATTAGATGAGTCATTAGAGTATTACGAACAAAGACGTCGGATATCGAGCTTAGAGCGTCGAGACCGAGCGTCGCAAGTCGAGTCGAATTTAGAATTCTATAAGACGTGGAATCAAGCAAGCGACAAGTTCGAGCCAAGCCATAGCCTCGCATTGGCCTAGCCATGCTAATGCTAGGCTAGGCGAGGTCACCAACGCCTAGCATCCCCTAGCACACGCACATTGCATGGCATAAGCATCGCAAAATGCGTGCATGCGTGTGTGTGGTGTGGTTGTGCATGGCTGGGCGTGCTAGCATAGCAGCGCCAACCATCGCTTCATGCTAGGCATGGCCAAGCATAGCCCGCAAGCATCGCAAGCATGGTGCCTTGCGTGCTTGCTAGCATACTAGGCCAAGCACCCAACCCATCGCTAGCACGCAGCATCGCAAGGCTAGGCCTTGCTAGCACGAAGCATCGCACTTGCTAGCAGTGTGCTGCATATGCGAGTGCTAGGCTATGCGTGCTTGCGAGGTGAGTAGCGCCTAGCACTAGCAGCTCTTGCTAGGCAGCGCCCAGCATACGCTAGGCAACAGCAGCAGCCCGCATGGCACGCGTCGCTTGTTGGCTGTGCACATGCGTGTGCTGGCTAGGCTGCTAGCATAGCCAAGGCACCAGGCGCCAGCTGGGCTGCCTTGGGGTCTAAGGTTGGCTGGCTGCCTGCTGTCCCTAGGCCAGCTCACTGTCAAGGAGGGGACCAAAGGGGATGGTGCTTGGCTTGGGGAGCAAGGTGAGTTGGTCCCCCCCTTTGGTGGTCCTTACCTACTCTCTCTCCCTCCTTGTGCCACTTGGAGCTTGTTGATTGCATTGGCATTTCATTTTATTTTTGGTTAAAATAAAAGAGTGAAAAATGCAAATCTCCCTCATTGATGGGAGAAGGGAGATCAAGTTTCCTTTCCCTATAAATACCCAAGCTTTGGGTTTGGGAAAAATCACTTGAGTTGAACTAAAAAGGCATCTCCATTGTAAAGTGAGAAAACCTTAAGTTCGTAATACTCTAGTTTATATTATTCAAGTCCCGACTAACCTTCGGGATCAAGACCGTTCGGGTCGGGTCGAGGGTGCGAGCCGTAGGAGACCGTCGCACTTGCGAGGCTCGAGCTTTGAAGTAAGAGCTCGTGAATCGAGCGAAGCACGTATCAAGGATAAGAATGTCTTTTCTCTTTCTCTCTCTTATGTTGTTAATTATGTGATTAAATATTTAGTTGCTTTAATTCTGAGCGGGTAATGGGCGGGTTTCTCTTCCGCGTAGCGTTGGACGCTACAAAACCCAACAGCTCTCTGCAACGAATTCACCCGGATTGGCGTCGCCGGATGTCTACTCATGTTGGAGCAAACAATGGTGTTAGGTTTCGTAGTGTCCAACGCTACGCGCAAGAGAAACCCTCCCAAGACCCACTCACTAATTAAAGCAACTAAATATTTAATCACATAATTAACAACATAAAAGAAAGAAAGGGAAATGACATTCTTACCCTCAATGCGTGCTTCGCTCCTATAGAGCTCGGACTTCAAAGCCTTAGCTCCGCAATCGCGAGAGCCTCCGATGGAAACCACCCTCGAGACCTGACCCGAACAACCTCTAGCCGGGCTAAACCAAGATAAGACTAGAGTATTACGAATTTAGAGGTTTTCTCACCTAAAGGGAGACGCCTCATTGAGTTCAACTCAAGTGTCCCTTCCCAATCCTAAATGATGGGTATTTATAGGGAAGGGAGCTCTTGAACTTCAATTTCCCATCCATGTGGGAGAGTTGGTAAAAATGCATTTTATCCAATTTATTTTTAATTCAAAAATCAAATTGAAATGCAAGTGAATCAACAAATGACAAGTGTCAAGAGGTGAGCAACGGGTTAGGTCAGGACCACAAGGGGGGACCATTCTCCCCTTGCTCCCCAAGCAAACCCACACTCACATGCCTCTCACATGCATATCCAACCACATGCAAGATCAACCACACACACATATGCTACATGCACACGCTGGCTCACGCACATGGTGTGGCTGGGCATAGGCGCAATGCGTGGCTGGTTGCCAGCCTCGCTGTGCGGTACACGCACACGCTGTGTTGGCATTGCTAGCTTTCACTAGCTAGTTGCTGCTTGCGCTATGCGTTGCACAGCTCGCACAGCCTATAGCATACGCGCATGATGGGCATTGACGCAAGGCTTGGCTGGCTGCCATCCCTGCTGTGCGGCACAACCAGCACATGCACAGGCCAGCTTGCATGATGGACCTTGTGCTGTGCGGCATTGCTGCTCGCATGGCCTATCATGCTTGCTAGGTCCTCGCTGCCCAGAAGGCACCTGCTGCCACGCCCCTGCTAGCCCAGCCATGCGATTAGGCGCAATAGCCCCGCAAGCATGCTCGGCCAGCAAGTCTAGCACGTACATGCATGCTTGGCTTGCGTCATAGCCATGTATGCGGTTGGTGCCCTATGCTAGTCTAGCCTTTGCATGGGTACGACTTAGCTTAAACTTGTCATTTGCTTGATTTCTCGTCTCGTCGAATTCTAAACTCGACTCGACTTGCGACGCTCGGTTTTGACGCTCTAAGCTCGACATTCGACGTCTTTGTTCGTAATACTCTAACGACTCATCTAATCTTTCGGACTGATTCGTCACCTCGGATCGGTTACTCGATCGGGTGTGACCCGAAGGGTTCAGTCAAGATTAAGCTGTAATATTAATTACACGTTAATATTATTGATTGGAAGTGGCCTCCACCTAGGCATTTCGATCACTTGACCTCACTGAAGAATTAGCTTTCTAATATTCTGAACCCTCAATCGGAATAATACACTTGTTGGAAGGACACCATTCCTTTCAAATGGTTTTTAATAAGACCGTCTGCACATTGCACAGACGGTATTCCCATTGGGCTTTTTAATATAGTTAAAGCAATAAATAAACAGAGTTGAAAATAAAACGCAACTTTCATTGATGGGCTTTTTATTTACAAAAAATTTACAAGTCTTAGAAGCAGTACTTTTTTAAGTTATCTACATTCCAAGTTCTGGCTAGCTGTCTGCCGTCTGGAGTTTCCAGGCGGTAGGTGCCGCCTTTCACTTCTTCATAGATCCGGTAGAGGCTTTCCCAATTGGGAGTCAACTTTCCTTGCTCATTGGCCCTACCGGTTGCCTCCATTTTTCATAACACAATGTCCCTTACTTTCAAGGGTCGCTTGTGCACTCTTTTGTTGTAGGCTTTGTCATTCTCAGACGGTAAATCTCATGACGCAAGGCGGCATTGCCCCTGCGCTCCGGGAGTGAGTCCAATGCTAGCCGCATGGCCTCCCAGTTTGCCTCTTCGTCATACAGCATGACTCGAAGAGTCGGCTCATAGAGTTCAATGGGAAAAACAGCTTCTGCGTCGTATTCCATGAGAAATGGGGTTTCACCGGTTGCCCCTTTTGTTGTTGTTCTAATGGCCCATAGGACATGAGTTAACTCTTATGCCCATAAACCGCCAGCCCTTTCAATTTTCTTTTTTATGCCGTCTGAGATAAGCTTGTTGAAGGCTTCAACCTGGTCGTTTACTTGGGGACGGCCGACTGATGCAAAACAGTGGGAGATCCCTTGGTCTGGGCCAATTCTTGAGGGTAGGCGTCTCAAACTGAGGGCCTTTGTCAAAAACCATAGACATAGGTACCCG